TACCAAAATTTAACAAAGATTACAAAACAAATTAGAAGTACTACTATCCCTTATACTTAGAGACACAGAAACTAAGCAACATATAAAAAAATCATAATACATCATGACCAAGAAGAGCTTATCTCAGGAATGCAACACTGCTTGAACATTTGAAAAATTGATCAACGTAATTCACTACATTAGCAGAATAAAGGAGAAAAATAAAATAATCATTGGAATAGACGTAGAATAAACTTTTGACAAAATCCAGCACCCTTCATGATTAAAGAAAACAGCAAACTCTCAGCTAATAGGGAATACACGGAATATTCCTCAATCTGATAAAAGACATCTAGTAAAAAATCTGCAACCTGTATCATAGTCAAAGTATTGAATGTTTTGCCCTTAAGACTAGGAATAAAGCAAGTATGTCCAGTCTCACCATGTCATTTCAACATTCCAGTAAAATCAAAAAAAGAAACAAAGGTATAAAATTGGAAATTAAGTACAACTGTCCCTAATTGTACATAACATGATTGTTTATGTAGAATATCTTAAGGAATCTACTAAACAACTACAAGAACTAATAAGTGAGTTAAGCAAGGTCTCAGGATACAAGGTCAAAATACAAAATTACATTGTATTTTTGTATATACCAGGAGCTGTCAATTAGAAAATGAAAATCAAAAAACAACTCCATTTACAATAGCATCTAAAAACAAAATACTTAGGAGTAAATTTTCCAAAACACAAGCAGTACCTTTATACTGAAAACTACAAAATATTGTTAAGAGAAATTAAAGAAGACTCAAATCAATGAAGACCATTGTTCATAGATTGGAAGATACAGTGTTGTTAAAGTGGCAATTCGCCCTAAAATGATCTATAGATTCAATGCAATCTCAATCATAATTCTACAATGAGGTTTTTTAAAACTAAACTTTGACAAGCTGATTGTAAAATTTATATGGATATGCGAAGGACCTACAATACTTTAAAAGTAGAACTTTCTGCAATGATGAAAATATTCTATATCTGCGCTGTTCAGTATGGTAGCTATTGCTATATGTGACTACTGAGCACTTGAAATGTGGCTACTGTGGCAGGAATTGATCTTTTAATTAATTTAAATGCAAATAGTCACAAGGCCATTGTATTGAACAGTGCAGAAAGTAACCCTGGGAAAAAAGAGGACTTACACTATAGGACTTTGAAACTTAGTACAAGGCTACGATAATTAAAACAGTGTACTGCTGGCATAAAATAGACAAACAGATCAGTGGAATAGACTAGAGCCTAGAAATCAATTCACATTTATATGATCTTTTGTTTTTTTACAAAGATGTTAAAACAATCCAAAATGGAAAGGAAATCTTTTAAACTAGTGGTGCTAGAACAAATGAATATTCATATGAAATAAAGTAAACCTCTAACTCCATCTCATACTATACTTACAAAAAAAAATTAAAATAAATCACAGATGTAAATATAAATGAAAAAGCCTAAAGCTTCTGAAAGTAAACATAGGAGAAGCCTTTACAACTTGGGTATAGGCAAAGATTTCTTAGGTCATAGCAAGTAATCACAAAAGAATAAATTGATAAATTAGACTTAACCAAGATTTAAAATTTCTCATAAAAGACAAGATTAAGAAAATGCAAAGCCAAACCACAGACTTCAAGAAAACATTTGCAATGCATATATCTGACAGGAGACTCATTTCCAGCATATGTAGAGATCTCAATACATAAAAATACAACTCAATAATAAGAAAAGTAACCCAATTTAGAAGTGGTTAAAGATATGAATAGATCCTTCACAAAGAAGATATGCAAATGACCAATAAGCACAATATCACTAGTCATTGTGGAAATGAAAATTAAGACCAAAATGAAATACTCCTACACATCCACCAGCGTGGCTAAACTTAAAATGATTAACAGCCCCAAATGTTGTCTAGGATGTGGAGCAGCTGGAACTCTAATACTTTGCTGGGAGTCTTAAACTGTATATCCGTTTTGGAAAAAGATCTGGCAGCTTCGTATACAGCTGAACTTATACCTACCATATGACCCAGCAAGTCTACTCTTAGGTATTTACCAAAAAAAATAAGTGAAAGCATATGTCCACAAAAATATTTGTATAAGAATATTCATAGAAACTGTCCAACAGAAAAAAATGGATAATTAAACTGTCATATAAACAAACTCACATAATTATACAGTAAAATTAATGTGATTAACTGTCCTGGTTTGCCCAGGACTGAGAAGTTTTCTGGGATGTGGGACTTTCAGTGCTAAAACTAGGAAACTCTGGAGCAAACCAGGTGGGGGTCACCCTAATTTTCCACCTCAGCAATACAAAGACCTAATGGTAATTACTGATACTTCCAACAACATGGATGAATTTCAAAACATTATGCTGAGTGAATAAACCTAAAGAAGCGTCAGATTCTATTATTTATATGAAGTTCTAGATTAGGCAGGACTAAGTTGGTAAAAACAAAAAGTATTTTTGTCTGGGGGTTTGAGGGAAGGGGTGTGAGGGAACTTTCTAGAATAATGGTAATGTTCTCTATTTTGGTAATTATTTGGGTTACACAGGTGTACAAATTTGTCAAAACTCAATGAATGGCAAGCTGAGGTTTCTGACTATCGGTAATCTAAAAATACCTGTAAACAAATATTGGATTCTAGTTAATGATGTGCATACTGAAGTGTTAATGATTTACATACTGAAGTGAAGTGTAACTCCTCTTGTCAAGTGTGGAATTTCTAAAAAAGTGGTATGTAGGAACAGAGAATCATTCCTTGAGGATTGCTCCTGAATAGAATTATTTGTTATGATTATTGATTTTTAGGAAGATTTTTTTTTAACTTTTTGACAACACTTTCCATGTTGCTGAATCTTTGTTTTTTGTTTTGTAATCCTGTATTTTTCAGGAAGAATGTTACTTTGTGTTCTAAGTCAGTGGGCTTCTTTCATTATTATATGTATGTAATTTGGCTATAATTTTGTTTTATTTTGTTTTATTGTTTTGGTATTACTAAATCTTTGCTCTTTTCACACAACCTCTTTTTTAAGGTTTTATAGTATTTACAAGTAGAAGCAGTCTTTACATATTAAAAGATGTATTTTTTAATACATCTTATGTTATTCTTAAAGTAGTGATTATAAACTTGTGGTTATTTTAAAGGATGGTAATGCTTAGAGCATTCTAATTTTTCTTGTTACCTTTTCTTTAATAATATAGTACTTCTAAAATTGGATCCAAATTGCTTTTAGATTAACTTTTTTATTATCAACATTTTTTGTATGCACCTTGTAGAAAATTTTAGCCTTGATTTTCAAAAATTTTAACCTTGCTAGGGTTTTATTTATTTTCACACATACTTTTAGTTATGGTAATGGGTTAGCTCAGAGAAGGTACTCAGTTACTACCCCAACATTTTTTAAAGGTATCTTTCATCTTTTAGTTCTCTTTCTTCTTATTTACCTCTAAAATGTGTTGTTGTTATAATGAAGTCATTTATAATAATGTTCTCAATCCTACCAAACTCAGTGCACCCTTCTAATAACAAACATTTTTGATAACCTGTTTCTATCCTGAAATTAATAGATTGTTTAACCTACCTACACACCTAACTTCAAAAATTCAATGTAAGTACCCTACTTGTAATAGAAAGAGGAAATAAAAGGAAAGTAATTAATAAATATTTCAATATGTAAATTTTGAGGGATGGTGTAGTCAGATGCTTGTATCCATCCATACATTGAAACTGAATGGGACAGCTACAAATGCAGACTGTTACTGGTGTGCAAGTTGCATTGGTGCCTTACATACTACAAGCTGTAGTGCTGTCAGTGTCATGATTTTCTGAGATATTTGACCATTCTTAACGAAGTTCTGAACAACAACAAAAAAGACAAATTTCCCTCAATTTACATGTTGTTATATGTGTTTTAGAAATGTTGGGCATCTATTAAACTATGCAAACATAAACTTTATGTGTAAAACAGAATTAGATTTTGGCTAAGATCATTATAAACAGGATTTTCATCTATTTGAATGTCCAGGAGCACATTGGAAAGTTTTGAAGGTCAGAGAAAAATTCTCTTATGTGGAGGACTCTCTTGTGAATTGCAGAATCCTTTGCCCTTGTGCCCTAAATGCCATCATTGTGCCTTAATCATTGTGACAACCTAAACACGAAATTCTAAAACACCATACTGTATGTTTTTTGCAATGGATCTCTTTGGCAATTGTGTCACTTCTCAGAATAATGTTTTTAATGCATAAGATTAATAGGATTACAAAAGAAATGAATTGTATTAAAATACAGACCCCAGGTTAAGATCCTTAAAAAAGTTGATACCATACCCCTCTCCAATATACACACTCCAGTTGAGAACCACTAGTTATAAGGGCTTTCTATATTTAGGCAACAGTGAAAAACCTTAATATTAAAATGTTATGGATTTGAAAATGCATTTGGTGCCTACATCACTTTGTAATCAACATGATGGTATCAGTAGGGGATTAATATCATATCTCTAATAGAGTCTAATAGAATGAAGCAAATAACATAGGAGCTGTATTTCTATTCTAATTTTGTATCTTATTGGAAATTAAATGTATCAAATGGACTAATGCTTCTATTTCCCATTTTTTTCTGACTATGGCTAAACTATCTCTCTGATTAATATCAATTATAATGCAGATCTTTTGCCAACTTGTTTACTCATATATTACTTAAGAAAGTAATGTAACTGTGGCAGAACAAATCTTCTCCAGCTGCCATTGAGCAAGTTGACAAAGAACTTATTTGTATTAACAGGGTAGTTTAAACACAAGTGGTTCTAAGAATAGGAATTGTAAAGCAAGATAATAAAGCGTTTATTTCAACAGGTGCTCATTCAGCCTTTTCTAGGAGAACATTGCAAGGGGTGACTATATTGTATATGGATGAATAGCTTGTCATGACAAATGTGCAGAGTATCATGACTTTTATTTCTTTTAGGGTATGTCTCTGTGCCAGACTGTTGTCGTAGGCTCTGTTGTCATTCTTCTCTACTCTTCGAGAGCATGTTATAATTTGGTGGTGATCACCATATCTCAGGATACATTAGAAAGTCCATTTAATTATGCCTGGGATAATCTTTCAGATAAGGTAAGTACCTACCATGTATTGCTGATCTAATAACAGGATAATGAAGTTAGCCTTTACTAGGCGAACATTTTAACTGTTTTACATACAAACATCTCTAGCTACTATCAATAATCATACTTAAAATTCTCTAGCTACTATCTATAATCTCTAGCTACTATCAATAACCACACTTAAAATTCTGTGTTTAAAATCCTCATTTACATGTGGTACTTCAAATCGTTCTTCAGAGAGAATTTCTTCCAAGGGGGTAGTTTCTTTTCTTCTTGTAAATAATATGAATACTGCCATAAATCTATTGGTCATAAACCTATTTTACTAAGGATAGTATTTAAATATCTCTAAATAAATTGATTGCCTGTCATTGTCTAGTGACTATGAATGTCTTTAGTTGTTAGAATGAAATTAATTCTCTTACTCAAGAACTACATATAACCTAAATATTTGCTTCAGTTGTAGATGTTTAAATAATGACTTTTATGAAAATTTGACATCATCAGTCTTGATAATGGGACAGCATTAATAGTTTTTTGGGTGCCCAGGTGTGTTATAGCAATTTCCAGTACGCTAGCTATACTATATGTCATATCTTTATTTATATTAGTTTAACTTTGTACTGAATTTAAGGAATCCTGGAATCCTCTTTTATCAGGATTTTAGTTACCTTTCTACGAAAAAGGAATTTGCATATGTGGTTCCATGTAGTAGATTCACTTTACTTCCTTCCCCACTTCTCTCTCCCAATATTTACTAGAATAGAAGGAAATTCAATATGGAGTTTAGGCCCCAAAGCATATTTTTAAATAATAGAAGAGCTGAGTGACTTATGTGTTACATTCCCTGTGGGTGTAACTCAGGGTAAGTGCTATTTGCCTGTGGAGCAACTGGAACCAGGAGTCTATTTTATAACCCTCTTCTGACTATGGGGACTAAAAATGAGGTCACTCCATATTATCCACATATTAAAAATATTTTCATAAATTGATGCATTGAAAAAGTTAATAGCTTTATATTCTATTTAACAATGCATTTTTATGTTTTTTAGAGGATATTATTACATAAGAAATCACAAAACATGGAAAATTAACTTAGAGTTTTATGTGCTTAAAGTTAATATATTGTTTTAATTTATCCTACCTGAAGGAAGTCAATTGTGGAGGATGGTTGCTTATACATGAAACAGATTTCCAGATTTCTCTGCCATCCTTTATTTACAGGCACATATAGAAGACGTAAGTGGAGAAGAGTATATAGTATTTGGAATGGTCCTCTTTCTGTGGGAACATGTGCCAGCGTGGTCGGTGGTTCTATTTTTCCGGGCACAGAGATTAAACCAGAATTTGGTATGATACCATAATATTCTGTAATGCTTGTTCTCCTTATTTATAAAAATAATGGAACCTTTATATTGATTTTCTGTTTTGGGCAAAGTTTAACACTAAAAAGCATTATAAATCCCTGCCTCCTTTCTTAATTGAGAAGTAAATCTTCATATGCTATCTAATTCTTTGTTCACAGGCACCGGCTGGCATGATAAATAGTCATAGTTATAGTTCCAGAGCTTACTTTTTCGACAATCCAAGACGATATGATAGCGATGATGACCTGCCAAGACTGGGAAGTTCAAGAGAAGGAAGGTAGATCTACAATATTAGTAATGGAATAGATTAAAAAGAATACTAACCTTTAACCCAAATATGAAAAAGGTGATTTGGTGATATATGTCAAAAGATAAGATCATTTAATATTGACACTTAGAACAGTAAATATTAAACGCTTAGTGGGACCTGTACTATGAAGAGCTATCTTTGGACTCTAAGCCCATAGAGTACCTTTATTTGAGAAATGCTGTTGGGGGTAAAATGGTACCATTTCATTTCAGGATCCCTTGTTGGTTCAAAGCTGGTGAGGGTTGGTGAAAAGAGAAAGAATACTATTATAGTGATTTTATATCCATAGAGAAAACTCATAGGAAGCTCAGATGCCATGGGAAATCTTCTTGGGCCCTCCTTATTCCAAAATCATTGCAAATCCATACCTTAGCTGTGTATCAGGGCTAAATGAAAGCCTTGATACCACCTGTGTAATGCTTTCAGTTGACACAGCATTTTCTATAATCCTCATGTCATCTGGACAAGTTACTTAACCTCAGTTTTGTTAGCCTGTTTTTCATCTGTAAAATAGAAATCGGAATAGATCCTATGGGACTATTGTGAAGATTAAATGTGTGTGTGTATGTGTGTGTGTGTGTGTGTGTGTGTGTGTACATAATTCTACGAGTGTGTGTGTGTATACAAAAATGACTTAGAATATAGCCTCATACATAATAAGCACTATTATTACCTGATAATCATGTGCTAAGTGGTATTTATTCATTCTTTTGTAATATATGATATAGAGTCAAGGATATTAGACAAGTCATTACATTTTGTAGAAAATAATGTTATTTGGCAAAGAACACTTCAATATATTTGATACTAACTGTATTATAAAATTCACTGAAAACTAAAAATGGCAATATGACTTATTACATTATATCCTGATCACTGTCCTATGGCTTTTTTGTTGTTGCAGTTTATCAAATTCACAAGGCTTGGGCTGGTATGGCACCATGACTGGGTGTGGCAGCAGCAGTTACACAGCCTCTCCCCATCAGAATGGACCTATGACAGACACTGCTCCTTTACTCTTTACTTGTAGTAATTTAGATTTGAACAATCACCATAGCTTATATGTAACACCACAAAACTGACAGCATTGCCACCTGGGGAATCTATTGTTTTTCATGAATGTGTATAGTCAATGCATTTAAATTTCATTTACATAAACATTCCATTATCTGTGGCAACTGAAAACAACGCCTGGAAATGTGGCCGCGTGCAGCAGAGAACACAGCTATTACTTTTGACCTCTTCGTAGTAAAGTGAAGTAAAATGGAAAGTTTGGAGTGGGATAAAAGAGAGATTAGATCTTAAGGCACTTGATGGCCTCCAAACATCTTGACTTTGGAACATCAAATGCATATTTGCACTTTTATCTTTATTCTGAAAGAATACACTGCAGTCCCCAAAGTCATACTCCAGTGTTCACACTGGGATATTATATTGGACACCAAATTAGGAGGCAGTATTTCTATTAAAATCAAAGCTTGTATATCAGTTGTGTACTCCATGTGGAAATTCTTACCCAATAAAAATTTTGTTTGAACAGTGCACAGAATTAAGGCATAAAAATGTATCATTCTTTTTTTAAAAATCTAAAAATATGTAATCATTGAATATAGTTCTTTTAAGCATGATTATAAAATACCAACTAAAATTATTCAATTATATTTTTTAAATGATAGTAGGAAATCTTCACAGTGATGACCAGCAGTGTTCTTGGGAAAGCCACAGTCATTTCTTCAAGAAGAAAGTATACCAGTGAAAATTATGTGGCTACTTTGAATAGAATTGGTCAAGTGATTGTTTTGTATGATTAAGACATATGTATGTAGTAGTTTAAGCATGATTCTTCCAGAAAGCAATAGTGGTTTTTGCATAGGGAGATTTTGGTAGAAACTTCTTGGGACTAAACAAGTTTACAGATGCATTTAAGAATTACTCATAAAATATACAATTCTAAGTGAAAACATGAATACAGTTTCAAGAACATTTGATTTAGCTGAAATAAGATACAGCTGATTTTACCTAAAAATCAGGACTGTCCTCAGGTAAATTAAATCATAATACATGATTGCAGTGAACTCAAGTGCAATACTTTGTAAGACAAGTCCTTCTTTAGTTGTCATGTTTTTATATCTTGTATATGGGCAAAGCCAAATTAAATTTAATTCAAATTAATTCTAGCGCTAGACTAAATAAGCAAACTGATGTGAAGGTACTAACTAGGTAAGTATAAAACCAGTGGTGAACAATATTGGAATACTTTTAGAATTACATGAAAACTATCTTGAATGTCCTATCCCAAATCTAAGAAAATATGTATATATATATATATATATATATATATATATATATATATATATATATATATATATATATATATATATATATATATATATATATATATATGGTAGGCTAAGAGAGAATTTTAAAATGCACTTTCTACCAGTGTCTATATGGAAAGGAGACGCTGAATACCTCAATATGCCAATGGAACAGGCAACATTGGGAAGTTGTCAAAACATGCTGAAAGATGCCCAACTTTATACAATTGTCAGCTAATCTATTTCTTCAGACCTGGAACTAATACAACTGTCCTTTTGTGTCTTCTACTTTGCTTAGAAAGTTATGTTTTATTTCTACTCTTACTTAAAATACCTTACAACTTTTTAAATAATTGATGCAGTAACTTCACAAAAGTATAACAGTAGGTAAAACCCCAAGGAATAAATAAAACTTTTTTTTATTATTAGTTTCAAGTGTACAAAGCAATGTACTAGTGTAGACATTTACACTCCTCACAAAGTGATAACTCCCCTAAATAAAACTTTTAATGCTTTCAGTCTTTTGGGAAGCTAGTACACAGCCAAAGAAATTTCTTCTTTTTATCATAAAAAATGACTTTGAATTCAATCAGAAGTATAAACTTATGTTACTTTAGGTTTGTTTATAAGTTCTTTCATTGTAACCAAATTATTTAAAAATGCATGGTTCAGAATGCCATTTATTTTCCTAATATTGGTAGATATCTAATTAACTAGAGCTACCTGAAGAGATCTGAGTTGTCTTTGCTAATCTTGGGGTTCAAAGTAAATAAAAAACTTTTTTCTAGTAAGGCTTCCCTAAATAATGTTCCTATTTGACCAGATAAACAAAGAATACTTTAAAAAAAAAAAACACTTCACATAAAATAACTTGGTTCTTTCAGCTGCATTTGTTGATTCTTCCAAATTTGAGATTTATAAGTTGACTCTTATCACTGACTAGGGTACCTGGATTCTTGCATGTCTCTTTATACACATCTCCCATATCACCAAAGACAAAGAAAGATAAGCTTCTGGCCCAATTTTTGCTTAAAATTCCAAAGCACTAGAAGCACTTTAGGTTTGGTCTCGAAAGAAGGAGTTGTTTATAAAATCAAAGGGCTACCGATTCCCTGTTCATCCTGCACTGAAGCACATGATGACAATTTCAAACCTGCCTTTTTTGGTTCATTGATTAGAACAGTGCATTTCATTGCTTAAGTGTGTAATTCTACAGTGATTAGCAGTACTTGTTTTTATCATTTCATTTAAGTGGCCATTAATTTTGAAATTCTCACCACTCGTTATAGCTGGTCGTAGTTTTATGAAAGATGTAATTTATAGCTAGTGGCTTTTTTATGCATAGCTGCCTTTTTTTATTGTTTTAACAGTGTTTCTCAGCTATATAATCAGTTTCAAACTGGTTGTAAAAGTATAGCTGTGGCCAATGAATGTATTTATTTGTTTCACTAAATTGTAACAAAACACTACTGTTGAAAATAAAAGTGTTTGTGCTTTTATTCGGTGGTCTGGTTTTCTTACTCCCTCTTAATGGACTACACTGATTGAGTTTCTATCATAAAAGGATAAGAACCCCAGTGCTACCAAAGAAAAGAGAAACTATCAGGAATTACAAATGACAGTCTGCTGCTGTTAGTGAGCTTGTAATTACATCTAGACAGCATGTCCCTTAGTAACACACACTAATTTGATATGAATTGCCATACACTTTACTTTAAAATATCAATGTGATATTAGATAGTACGTTTATTCAAACATTAAGCTAAGAAAAATTCTTGTATGAAATAACTTATAACACCCCTCTCCTTTCCCTTAGAATCTTAAACAGGAATAAATTTAATCCTGAACAGCTCTTCTTCAATCATTCAAGAAATTCCTCAGTGATATTGCCTTTTACCCTAAAAGAAGACATCTTGCTATTTTTCCATAATAGACCCCTTTCATAACCGCCAAACCATACCAAATTTTGAATATAATTTCAGGAGTTTTACTGATCCCCTCAAGTCCACAAATCCTTGGGCATGTACTGACTCTTGCTGTAAAGAATATCTGTATGAAGGTATGATCTCTAATATAATAAAGTTGTCATTTAAAAGGCAATTTATTCAACAACATTTATTAAGTGTTCATATGCCAAAAACTATGCTGTGGAGATGCTAAAAGGGATAAAGTTCCTTCTGCCCTTAATGAGCTCACATTCTAGTGAAGGAGGCTTTAAAAAACAAAAACAATACAGTACAATATGTTACACAGTAGAGGTAGGTTGTTATTACAGTGGTGAGACAAAAAAAGGAAGTTCGATATGGTCCTCCTTACATGGAACAAGGGAGATTTCACAGAGGTGATGCTTTATGCTGGGCCTGCAAGGATACATAGAAACTTTACAGGTGGGCACTGGATGCAAAGAGAACAGCATGCACCAAGGTGTGGAGGCCTGACCATGGTGCATTTGAACTGCGAGCCCATCTTATCGGAACATGGAGGGTGGAGGAGATGGGACTGGGAGACACACATCAGAGGACCATGTTACAGTGACAGTGCTTCTAGAAAACCCACTCTGGTAGCATTGTGGAGCAAAAGACAGGAGACAGGCTGGGTATAAGGAGACAGGTTCATTAGTAGTTTAGGTAAGAGCAATGAAAATGAAAAGACAGTCATGTATCAGAGATATGGAGATGAAATCCGGAGCATTCAGGCCGTGACTGGTTAGGAAGGAGATGGAGGAGAGGAGTGAGCCTAGAGGATTCAGATGCTGATGGTTCTGAATTTAACCAGAGGAAGGAACGTAGGCATAAGAGTAGATTTTGGGAAGAATGGTTGTTTTAAAACACAGGTATCCATGGGACAACCAAGTAAAGATGTGTAGCAGACAGATGGATTGAGAAGTCCGGGCTAGAGATAAGGGTTTCGAAATCATTGAATTGGGAGTTACCCAAAAGTGAGAAGGGGTGGTGATTAAGAGAGCAAGAATGAAAGCCTGAGGAATAACCTTTAAGGCATAAAGGAAAAGATGTTAAAAAGGAGACATCCAGGACCTACTGAAATATAAGGAAATGGGGGCAAGGGGGGGACGATTTTTAAAGAAAGGGCTGTAATAGTGTCAAATGCAGAAAAAAAGGTCAAATAAGAAATGCCTTATGAAATGAACTGTGGATTTAGAACTGGGATTTTAGACTTCAAAGGAAGAGATTGTTAAGAACCACGGAGCCAAAAGCCAGATTTCAGTTAAGGAGTGAGTAGGAGATGACAAAGTGAAGACAGGAATATTCTTTCCCAAAAATTGGCTGTTAAAAAAAGGGTGGGGGCATGAGAGAGAGGTATACAGACAAAATTACCATTTAAACCCATCTATCCTATTTTCAGAGTACTACAAATGTCCTTAAACTTTTATGTATGGTGCTCACTTCACAGTCCTTTGAGTCATCAAGAAGATTAACTTAATAGGTTAATGTCTTTTTTTCCTGCCCTATTCAAATAAAGGGGAAAAAGGGAAATACAACACATATTGTTCAACTGAGCTCTGTGATTATTCATTTAACGTATACTGAATATATATTCATACATTCATTGAACAAATATTTTTTGGACACCCACTATACACTTGGCATTATACCAGGCCTTAGGGACACAGAAGAAAAAATATACAGCAGTGTAAAATGACATTTCTGAACCATTATATAAGTAAACCCTGCTTTCTTAATAAGGCAACATCTCAACACATTATACCTGCTAAGACATACAAAGAGGCACATGATTTTGAGGTATACAGTTTCTTTTTATCCTGCAATTACTATGTGACATAAATTCCTAAACCCCTTAAAAGATTTTTATGATTGAAGAGCTTCCACTAATGAAAACCTTCCAAAATTACAGTTTAGTTTTAGGGAGGAAAAAGAAATAAATCTCGTGTAAAAAACAAAAATTATGTGCCCTATAACTATACAGATCAAGGATTAAAGGGGCAACAGAACTCAAAAAGAACGTCAGATTGGAACTCGAAATGATTCCTTATCCTAAGGCTTATCGTATTACAATTCTACATTTTTTTCTGAAAAATCATTTTTAATAAATTATTCGGTATTATACACTGAAGTATTTAGGGTTAAAAGGGCTTGATGCCTGTAACTGACTTTCAAATGACTGAGGAAAAAATAATATGTGCATATATTCACAGACAGCATGAAAGATAAAGCAAGTATGAACACTTACTGAACCTGGGTAAAAGAATTCTTTGTACTGAGCTGGAAACATTTCTGTAAAGTTGAAATTATATAAAAATAAAAAGTTTTCCCCAAATTTTATTCAGTATTAAGTAAAGTATTATCAGAATAAATATATAAATTTATTAAACTTTTTACAAAGTTCAGAAATCACCTATGCCTTTCAGTTGTTATTGTATCTTTCTGCACATCAAAACAAGCTAATCAAAATAGCAATATAATTCTAAAAGTGATTTGTTTTATACCAATGTATTTTAGGGTTGCCAGATAAAAACATAGGACTCCCAGTTAAATTTGAATTTTAAATAAGGAATAATTTTTTGGTATAAGTAGGTCTTAAATATTGCATGCAACATATGTATACTACAAACTACTTGTTTATCTCAAATTCAAATTTAGCTGGACATTCTGTGTTTTTATTTACAAAATCTGTTAACTCTAAATGTACTGAAAATTTTTAGGCTGTTAATTATGGGTTATTCGTACACCTCCTTAGCATTTTTCTATTAAACACTTGTCACATTGGCCATAGTTTTACTTATATTACATCTTCTTACACAAAATTCTAGTTTGAGAGACTTAAAACATCACTTACTTAGTTTTACTATATATGAATTTAATAATCCTGATTTTATTCAATATTAAACTTTAAAATTTGTACCACTTTGTAAGAGTATTACTTTTACTCACAATAATATTATGTATAGACTTAACACATTTTAAAAATTGTTTACTTAAAACTTTAATTCTTCTTTTACAAAAGCAGCTTTATGTAAAACATTTGCCTTAAGACTGTCATTGTTGTTATGCCTTTGAATAAAATTCCACTCTTTGACCTCCATTGTCCAGAAACAGGCACATTTCAACTTGTTTTCTTTAATGAATATTTTGTAACAAGTTCCTGAAGTTTTCTAATTCTTTCACGCTTGTAGAAATTCTGTAACCAAAAAAAAAAATTTCACTCAGAAATTATCTTAGGTAACTTTTCTCTGAAAGTTAATTCATTTTGCATTTTTAGAGCACAGAAAAAAATTTAAGTAATTTATTTCAACAAATGTAAAAGCACATAAACCATTTTATCTATTTTGATGTACTTTAGTTCTTAAACCTGATGTGGTAAAACTAAGATAATATTGCCCAGAAATTAATTATTTTTACTTATAATTTAGTGTTCAAATTTTACAATATAGAATTACAAAGCACACCAATACTAAAATACTTAGTTATTTTAAGTATTCATAAGTATATTCACATGCTTAGTATTTAAAGTACATAAGCATCGAAATATGCATTGTAAATATGCAGAGTCATATGAGTACTGAAAACTAATCAATATATCATATTTAGTAAATATGCAAAGAAATCATAGCTTTTGGACTTTAAAGAGAGAGAATAGTAAATATGTGACCAAATTGTTTTCACTAATTTTTATAAAAAGTAAAGTTTGTTATTTTAAGTGTACTTTAGCTCTGCTCTCTTGGAAAAAAGTAGCAGACTAGTTGATGAAATACAACTTGTCAAGCTTCTGTGCACTAAAGAATAATTCTGAAGGTCAATGTTTTCCAACCAAAATACTAAATCACAATTGTTTTAACTGAAGAAATGTAGTCCTTAGAAAATAATAGCTTTTATAAATCTCTGCATTTTTTACATGTGCTAGGCCAGAAGGAAATGCATCTATACTTAATTTTATAATGTAAGCTTATCTTCTAATTATTTTTATGAAATTCATTATTTTTAAAATAGTCATTAACCTTTTTACATAATGGTGAATTCACAAAGAAACTTCATATGTACACCTATAATAAACAAAATGATTTTGCCAGGACCTTCAAAAAAATATTTGGGCACCATAAACACCTGCTTTTAAGTAATTAGAAAAAAAGACACAAATTCAGAAAGATGAACATTGAAGTCCAATCAGTAAATTAATCATGATTATAAAAGTCAGATGAAAATAAAGACTAGCATCTAATGATTGTGTGTACAGACATAATTAAGATATTTCATTCAAGATCACAGAATTCTTGTAGTGGGATAATTTCACTATAAAGGATATTCCTTACCCATTTTTATCTGAGAGTATACATGTTGCATTAGACTTACTTGGCTAGCGGAAACCATTTCAATACATTCAAACTAACCTTCCAAATGCATTAAATAATGATACTATCTCTTGTCTGGTTAGATGAAATTCATAACTGGGTCCACTTTCTGGCATATTTGCTATCAGTTTTTCAGAAAACAAGATCTTCAGAGCAGTACCCAAACCCTGAGTCTATAATAGAAACAAGAAAAAAAAAATCAGAAAATTATTTGTGCAAAGAGTAAATGAAAAATAGGATTGAGCTGGATTTGCTTACCTGAAGCTTTCCCCACAGCCTACATTTAAAGCAACCGACACAATCCATGATTCTTGAAATATTTCTAAAATGCAGTCGAAACTCCTCCTAAAAACAATTTAACAAAATTGCATTAAGCTGCAGTCTTCAGTCAAATACTATTTTCTGAGTGCCTTGTATATGCCTAACACTGTACAAGGCACGACAGGGTGCCAAAAAGGAAAGGGAATTAAAATCGATATTCACTGAACACTTCATACAACAGAGTTGACATACACGATTTCATTTCATCTTCATCACAAATCCAAAAGGAGGTAGTATTATTATACCTAATGAATTAAAAAAACAGCATTCAGAGAGGTTAGGTAACTTTCCTAAATTCCCATATGTAGTAAACTGCACACTTAGATGCCAGGCCTGCCTGACTCCAAAGCTAAACTATCTGCAAATATATACGAAAGTAACTGAGTTGAGGTGTTCTGTTGGATGTGATTATTAGCTATATGCCAATATGGTGAGAGGGGGTACAGGGCTTGCATGGCATAATTAACAAAAAGAGAGAGAAAAAGAGGAAGAGAAAAAATGAAAACTTTTGGCTTCATAATAGTTAAAGCCCTTTTTCTGGTATTAATTGGGTGAAATAATCAGATCTTCTATTATCATCATAATCATCATTACAGAAATATACAGAATATAATGAACATTCATGTACCTTTCACCAAGTTTTAGAAAAAAAAACCACGTATATATCCATTGACACTTGGGTATTATATTGTTTAAAATAGAGCAACATGCATCCAGCTCATCCAAAAGCAGTATATGTACTTAAGGAGGAAAGGAAAAAGAAGGGAAGCCAAGAACACGTACTTCTTTGATTCCAATGGTAATTATTAATTGATCCTCCAAGTGACTCCCTCTGTCCTGAACTTTTGCTGGAATCCCAAGCTTACAGTATTTTAAGCAGGAAATCGGACATACATTTCAGATGGGACGGCCATTATAC